GCCCCACCCCGCCCCACAAAAAAGGGCAGGTTGGGCTTTTTTTTCTAGGCCAGTCAGGGAGCGGGCTTAAACAGGCAAGCCAGCCACTTATTTAAAAAAAAATAAAAAATGTTTGGACTTGAACATTTATAGGCTGCACAATAGCTTGTTTACTGACTTATCTTTTCACTGCATTTTGCATATCCATGTTGTATTTATATTTATTGGACTTACAACATTTAAGTTGCGGTTTTGCAACCCAGTTCCATCTCCTGCACATGCAAATCAAGATTTTTTATGAACCAAATAGTAAGTCAATGCTGATATATAAAAGGAAGTAATGATGGCAGTGAGTTTAATTTTTCACTGTCTAAACAAATCAGCAAACAAGCTAATATGCACAATGGGACTATTCACATAAAATTTCATTTTAATTAAGTCAAGGAAAATTACACGTCCGCCAGATCTGTTTTCCCTCTCCACGAAAAAATCTCCAAATCGCCAAAAACCCTTCCTTCCGTCGATGCTAAATTTTCGCCTGCGTCTTCCCCGGTAGGCAGTCGGGCCTTTGCCGGCGGATGGTCCGTAGTCGCACTACCTATGCCTTAATTTCGCACGGCCCCTCTCAGCTTGCGCCAATGGAGGATGATGAGCGCTCGAGGGTCAGGTGTCGCCGGTCTCCGGTTGCCGATCGAGGTTTGCGGTTTGTCGTCCTTATTTGTTTAGAGGTGGTTTTGGGTGGTGGTGTAGGATTAGGGTTTGGGCGTGGCCCTAACTGCTTGCTTGTTCATGGCGGGTCGGAAGGGCTGAGGCGTGGCGTTTTCTGTTCCCTGTTCCTGTGCTCCCTGGTGTGGGGTGGACGGGAGGCCGGCGCAGCCGGACCTTGGCCAGTGGTGTTGGTCGGGTCCGAGTCAGTGTTGGTGTGTGGGGGTGCGGGTTGCTGCTCCTCGGGCTGCGGGTCGGGTTTCGTCCTCCTGGAGTGGGTCGGGGTCTAAGGTGTCGGCTTCAGCTAGGCATTAGGCAGTTTCGAGAGTCGATTCTTGGGTTTTGGGCTAGTCAATTCGGTGGTCGACCTGGATCCAGCTGGTGCTTTGTGTTTCGACTTGGCGTGTCTACTGGGGAAGGAGATTGATGTTGTTTTGTGTAGCGTAGTTGGGTTGTTACTTTGTTTGTTGTTGTTTTTTGCTTGTATTTTTATTTTCTCCCCTTTGGGATCTGTGTGGTTGTTTGTTGTGTTGTTTATTCTTCTGTTGGGAGCCTGCTATTCTCCTGTTGGGAGCCTGTTATTCTCCAGTTGGGAGCTGTATAGTTTGTTGTGCTGTGGGTGTGTTAATGTAGTTGCTCTTAGGCTACCTCCGGGTAGACCTCCTGGATTCAGCTATTTGGCTGCTTGGTTATTCCAGTTATTTATGGCTGTAATTACGTGGTTTTCGTTCATATAAAATTCTATCGTTTCGAAAAAAAATAAATAAATTAAGTTTTCAAACAAGACAAACAGGTTAAAAAAATAAATAAATAAAAATACTGCGGCCCGTGGCGGGGCGGGTGGGCCTGCAATTTGTAGGTCCGCTAGGATAGCGAGCCAGCTTGCCTCGCCCAGCCAAATGGGGGGCTAAGGGTCGGCCTGCTCCAACGGTCCATTTTGACAACTCTACTTTTGACCTGAACAACTATCACACCAGAAAAAATTTTCGGTAAGAAGCCTGCCTCTAAAGCTTAAGTAAGCACTTGTAGAAAATGAAGTGTAAAATAAAAATTGTATGGAGTAATTGAGATTGTAATGTATTTTCGGCATACCTCAATCCTTTATACTAGTACGCACCTCGTGCGATGTACAAGACACAGATATTAAATGAATTAATCTTACAGGCTCTTTTCGTTTAAGTCTAAAAAACAATATGATTATTTTCTAATTTTTGGTTCTTTTAATTAGCGTTAATTCTAAAAAAACAATAAAATTATAATTTATTTTTTCACATCTTTTAATCAGCATTTTTTTAGTTAGAATATTAAATGTAATATATTATCTCACTAACACATTTATACTGATATATATTTGTTTTTAGTATAAATATTTATTCCCTGATATAAGAAAAAATAGCAATTTACTTATTCTTGTTGATCATATAATACTTAATTATTATTTTATTATAAACTTTATTGTCAAATACTGTCATTATTATTTATACAAGTTATATGTCTTCTTTTTCTTTTTATTTTATGTAGTGAAAAATATTAAATGCACGTTAGTATTATTTATTTATGTAATCAATTAAAAATATATAAATAAAATTAAAATTAAATAGTGTATCAATATTTTTCAAAATATACATACATGTTTTCTAGAATTTAGTTTTCTATACTAACTAGTACAACGCCCGTGTATTACACGGGTGTGTGCTAATTTTTTTCTTAAAATATAAAATTCATGATAAAATAGTTGAAAATCTAAATACCTTTTATAAAAATATATATATTATTATATAGTTAGTATGAGACTTTTTATTTGTGCGACTTACATGTGTTATACTGTAATAATTTTTTAACTTACAACAATTAACTATATTAAACATAAATATATCAATCGAGAAATAATTTTATTCTTCTAATGAATTTTCATAAATATTATTATTTTTTATTATTATAAAGATAAATATAATTTATTTATTTCATATATACAATATGGATGTCAAATCGAAGATCGTCAAAAAATGATTAATTTGATATATATATATATATATATATATATATATATGTAAAACCGATAAGAAATACAAAAGTTATCAACTTTTAAAGTACATTTACAATTCAATATCTAATTGAAGGAAACAAATCAAAAGTCAGAGATATATTAGTCACTTAGTGTCTCACTATGTAAAATATAAAAAATTAAAGGGTTATATTAGTACAATTGATATTAAAATACCTAAGTTAGCTAAATGATATTTATGGAATGTCCAAACCTAAATTATTATTTATTAATATATCAATATTATTTGTCCAAACCTAATTACGAAGCATGATTCTTCGCCAAGTTGGATTACGAAGCACCAGAAGCAGCCACGTAGGCTCAGCGCATTCTGGAATTATATATAGGGAGGATTAAACAACATTGATTTAGAAAATGCCAAAAACCCATCCCTTCTATAATTAAGATTTTTTTTTTTTCTAATTTGCATAAGGATTTATAGCTTATTTAGCATACTCTGCAATGAATATATAATTTACAACATGTTCATTATAGAAAAGAAATAAAAAATGATAAAAAGAATGATCATTTGACAATAATATACAAATACATTCTGAAGAATAATTAATATATTCCAATTTTAATTTTTGACCATTAGTAAAATTATTTAATATA